AGCAGCCATTACTTTTCCAGCCCCTGTCCTTTCTAAAAAAACAGCAGGCAGGAATAGCCTGAGGTCAGAGTCCCCCCCTACTATGTCTGATAATTAGACACAAGAAGACAAACACATTGTCATGAGGGCCGTGATTTATTCCTCTCTCAAGGGCTTCCCTTGCTTTAACCACTTCCTGTCACTGGGACTCCTCTTCCTGGCCTGAAAGATTAGACCACACTGGATGAAAGGTTTAACCATTCACACTAGTTTTAATGCTGAAAAAAGGTGTATACTGTATATATTATTCATTGTTGAGCAGTGGCGAGCCGTGACTTTTATACCTAGGCCCTCTGACCCCCACCCCTTCCCTCGAGTTATTACGTCACAGCATATACTTCAGCGGAATATCAAAACAACGGCCCGGGGTGCAAAACGCATCAATGAAAGCGACCCTCTACCACACAAAACAACACCTGTAAATAACCCTATTTGTGTTCTTTGAAATTGAAAAGGATATTGCATTGTGTTTGTTACATTCGTTGCAGTTGTATGTCTTAAGTGTAATTTGGCATGCTTTTATTTTGAAAGCGAGTTAACAAAATAACTCCTGTTGACAGGAAGTTGTTGTTGTTATGGAAACAAGAAAAGTTTCACAGCGGGCGTAACTTGTCATAAAGTCCGCGATAACAACACCCACCCATTTAGAGGGAAGATATGATTGGTCAATTGTACTGTCATTTGACATTACTCTCTCGTTCAGTTACTATAGCTGGGCCTCTGTGAATTCATAGCTGGAATAGCTCTCTTCACAGTTCTCGCAGAGACGAGCTTCTTTCATTTAACCCTTCACATTCCAACAGAAACTGAATAGGCAGATTCGAAGGATTTATTTATTTGGAAATGTTATTTTAAATACAATTAAATCAAGTTATTTTGGTAAAACTAATGAAGAATATAACTAAAAAAATATATTAAAAAATATATTATTATTTTTAATGTTTTTAAATATTATTTTGTAGAATATCGACTTAGGCCCTCACAGAGGGCCTAGAGGGCCCTGACGGCTCGCCACTGTTGTTGAGTTACTTGTTCTATAGCCTGCACTCGTTTGATGCGTTTAAATGTTCTGTTAAAAAATGTTTTGCAGGTTTAACTCATTTTCCTTTATATACTGCTAGGTTGCTAACATAAAATATTGCTGTTTAACAGTTTATTCAAATATGTATTAAAAAAAGGGAAATGTACAAAGTAACTTAAGATGCCATGTAAATGTAGAGGGATACAAAGTACAATAATAACCTTTGAGAAGTAGTGGGTGTTTAGAAAGTAGGAGGGAATATAAATAATCAAGTGAAGTACAAGTACTGCAAAATTGTATTTAAGTACAGTAGTTCAGTAAATTTACTTAGTTAACTTCCATCAATGCATGTATATGATGATGATAACAACTATAATCATAATTTACAGTTAATATACTCAGATTGCTTGAATTTAGTTTAATGAAATATACAAGATATGCACCATTTCTGTGAGTTCCTCTGGTCCCTGTGACTCAGCAGCCACCTTTATACTGGCTTGGGAAACATTTGAGAAGGCAAACCTGAAGTAATGTGATCACACACACACACACACACACACACACACACACACACACACACACACACACACACACACACACACACACACACACACACACACACACACACACACACACACACACACACACACACACACACACACACACACACACACACACACACACACACACACACACACACACACACACACACACACACACACACACACACACACACACACACACACACACACACACACACACACACATACACACAAGCACACACAAACCCTAGTTAAAGAAAAAAGGATTACTGCACAATCCTTCCAAAACCCCTTTTCATCTGAGAGGAGCAGAATCAATAAGCGAGGTTTTCTATGGGACTAAACAAGTTCAGACATGGGCCTAAAACTCAATCACCGTACTGTAAAAACTGCTTTCACAAAATAGTGGATTTTTTTACTGATGCTGATTCATGGAGCTGCAGTAGGAGAAAGTGAGCTCGGTGTCTGAAGAAGCACAGATTACCACAGTTATTGAGAGCAAAGCAAGCCTGGCGCGGAGTTTACAGTAGCCCTGCTGGCAGCGCTGCCACGCCGCTTCTCGTTGAGTCATGTGTTGCTCCGTGACTTAGCTTGAGAACGCTTCCAGGCCTCGAGTGTAAACAGAGCAAGTGGAAAGCAGACGGATCACTCCTAGCAAAACATGCTGGCAGAGAAAGCTCGTGGCCTCCGCTCATGTTGTGTTGTGTAATGATGCAAAACCACTGGAGCGGTGCAGGGTTTTCATTCAGGCAATTGCAGAGAGAGAGAGAGAGAGAGAGAGAGAGAGAGAGAGAGGAGAGAGAGAGAGAGAGGAGAGAGAGAGAGAGAGAGAGAGAGAGAGAGAGAGAGAGAGATGAGAGAGAGAGAGAGAGAGACAGAGAGAGAGAGAGAGACAGAGAGAGAGAGAGAGAGCTGTATCTGAAAGACAGACGGAAGCAATAGCTGCACAAAGAGTAGGTTTGGATAGTTCTGATTGTAGATGCTTCTAAGTAAACAACTCGTCGATTGTAGGCCTTTTAATGTGGAAAAGTGACATATAACTGGTTTATGTATAATGTATAGTAGAGATCTTTTAAAGAGTCCCTATTATTCTATTTTTATGTTTCATAGTTGTATTTTGGACCTCTATTGAGATTTCAGATTGAAGCCTTTGATTTTATATACGTTATTAATCCCCGTGGGGAAATTGTTTCTCTGCATTTGACCTATCCCAGTGTTAGGAGCAGTGTGCTGCCATTTTGAACGGCGCCCGGGGAGCAGTGTAGGGAACGGTGCCTTGCTCAAGGACACCTCGGTAGCACTTGGTCTTGCCAGGATTTGAACTGGTGACCTTCCAGTTGCCAAGCCAAGTCCCTATCGACTTCGCCACCACCGTCTTTGCAGACCATTTACATGCACACAAATGTATATAACACAACACAGGAAAGGGAATACCTACAAAACGCATACTAGGGCCCCTATAAGGTGTTCTACCTGTGTGTAATAAACTATATCCTTCTGAAATAGGACTACTTTAACTTCACTGGGCGGCTGTGGCTCTGTGGATAGAGTGCTGGACTTCGAATCAGAGGGTAGCAAGTTCGAGTCCCACTGCAGTCAGCATGTCGTTGTGTCCCTGGGCAAGATACTTCACCCCAAATTGTTCCTGTGGGGATTGTCCACAGTACTGAATGTATGGAAGTCGCTTTGGATAAAAGCGTCTAACAAATGATATGTAATGTAATGTAATGTAATGTTCACTAAAAGTACTGTTTCATTCAGGTAGCAGTACATCTAAAGAAAACTGCTCATTTTATACTTTTCTTTTGAATGTGGGTAAGAGGTGGTGGGTAGTGCAGAACGCACAAGGAGAGGTTGATGATTAAAAGCATTGAGAAATATTTGTATTTGAATTTAAACATGTTATGCACCTTCAAAACAACAGCATAGAGATACACTTTAAACTTCCATTAGGTAGAAGAAAATATGGCACTTGAGAGACAGCACAGATCAGTGCATATCAGCCAAGGAATCTCTCTTGTTCATGATGTCGTTGCAGATAAGAACCTCTGAAAACCAAAATAAAAACAAAGCACAACAATGAAACCTTATCCTTCAAGGTTTTGCGCTGCACTTTGTTTGGTTTACAGTCTATTCTGAGTGTGTGTGGTGCAACACAAACCCTCTGTGGCTGTGGAGGTATCTATAGATCAGTGGGGCGGGCTGCTGCAGTCAGACTAAACTGTAAACAAGTCCCATCCAGAGACCACGGCTGACCCAGCACCGCACATCCCAAACCATCTGATTCATCCTCCTTTACAGGCCGACAGCAAGCTCCTCAACAGCTGCATGATGAATCCCCAATAAATCCACTGCGACCAAAAGCTTTGAATCTCTCTAAAGGAAGCGAGGATGCAGGTGGCTGGAGTGGAGTTTATTGGAACAAGTACTTTCCAGAAGACCAAAACAACAAGACCCTGATGTCCTCCCCTCCCCTTCTCCTCCTGATTTCAAAGGCGATCTGCAGGGAGGGGAGAAAACACTCGGAAGCAACAGCCTTTTGTTGGAAGGCACTTTCGCATTAGGAAGAGACTGTGTTTTGTTTATGGGACAACATAGTGTTGCCATTAAGGCTTTAATCTAAACTGTTTTCTGGAGACAGCCTTGAATGACACCCCCCCCACCTTGGTTTTGGCCTGTTAGGTTTGGTTCCCACTGAGGGAGCAGAAACAGCAGGAAGAAGAAAGGAGCGGGGACAGTGTGGGAATGTCTCTCCATCGTCGCCACGGCGGGCAGTTCCTAAACATGGCTTTAAATTAGGGGAAAAGAAAACACGGGCTAAAAAAAGGCAGTCGCCTAACTATACTCCTGCCTGCTAATTTGTCACCACATGAAAAACAAGGGAAAAAATAGCAACAGTTTTAAATCACACTGCTTTAGAGTTAGGAAATGGCGGAATACTTAAACACAAGGGGCATTTGGGTCAACTCTATCGCACATACATCTAAACCATTGTGGGTGGAATCTATGGCTGCGTCCATATTAGAGGGGGGAAGAAATGGAGAGTGTCTGGCTCTGGCCTGCTGGCTGGGATCGGACCAGTGACAGCTGGGGCTTGAAAGTCTTACATCCAAAGCCAGGGCTCACTGCCACTTGCTACATAGCAGCGCTGAGCTAAGCCCACCCCCTCCTGTCCAAGCCCTCACTCTGAAATATCACCGTCCTGAACAAAACGTTAAGCTCCTGCCAAATAACTCACTCTTAAACCATCTTCTCTTTAAAGTGTACAGTAAATCCAAGAGCGGAAGGGGTACTGGAGAGAAGACAAGATGGCAAGAGGAAGTCTGCTGTCATGTTCGAGAGGGGAAGGGGTCACAGAGAGGGGAGTTTCTCAGAGGGTGTGTTTGTGTGATCATTACCTTATCAACCAGAGGCAGACAGCGGCGTGCAGTGTGCTCCAGTTTGACAATGGTGATGAAGTCACCCTCTTGGCGTTCATCTTCACTTGTGTTGCACAGAGACAGAGGGTGATACTGCAAGAGAAAAAGAGAAAAGGTTATCATTTCACAAGGACAACAAGAAAGGTCAATCAGAAGATCTCTAGGTGTGTTGAATCTCACTCAATTGTCCTTAGTCAAATGGGAGGAAAGGATAACAACTAGATGGGGATTCATTCATCTTGTCTCTGCCTAACTGTATTACAAACTTGTAATATTTGTCCTAAAAATGTAAAACAATGTCAAGAGATTTGATTGTGTAAATCAGCACTTTCTTTTGAAAATATAACAATAACTGACCACATTGATGGTTTCTTAAAGAGACAGTACAGAATACAAATTACAGTGTTATTTCTTTCTAACAGAAAGATGGAGAATAACTGGAGAAAAACTGAGCACTTTAAAATGTATCTCAAATACCAGTGATATTTACAAGACATATGCAGACAGATGAGAACACATTTGTTAAGCAGATGGGGATAGAAACATTTCAAACTTGTGACATACTTGAATTGACTTTGGTAAACTTCCTCGTCTTTATTGCACTTTCCCCAACCATTTGGTTTTGATTATTGTACACCTCTATTGTACTCCTCTATTGTACTCATCTTTTAAAGCTTTGTGACCGGGAATTTGAAAAACGATACAGCTGTAGCAGAATAAGACACTAACCTCCAGATACAAAAACACATGTTACTGACAGCATGTGACCTAAAGTATATAAAGACTGGACCATAACCAAGAAGAGAGGAAGATAATGTTTGGGACAATTGCACTTGAAAGAAGCTTTTATGTGTTGAATGAAGGCGTTTCCGCTCTATACTGTTCACAGTTGTTATCAAGAGGAAAAAACTTTAGCACCCTGAAAAATCAATTACATGGATGGTGATGTTCACTCCCAATGAAAGCCTTGAGGACTGAAAGAGCCAGAGATAGTCTTTGGTAGGAACATTTGATCCCCTCTGAAAGGGAGGAAATTCGTAGCTGCTGAAAGGCTGCATTTAAGAGCTCAAAGGATAGCAGCAGTGTTTGCAAGTCACAGACATGCTGTCACGGGTACGAGGTTGTCCAAAAAGGAGAAAACCGCTCCTATACACTCCCGAACATCCCTAATTTCCTCACATGACATCAATATGAGCACCAACACGATGCTACCCGTCCTCACAGATCACCATGAGGGGCCCGGTCCCTGCGCTCACCCAGCAGGGCGGTCCCACCCTGCCCTGTCCTGCCCTGCCCTATAGGCCCGTCCCGGCATGGTTCTGCCCCGGTGGGCCCCTTCATGTGGCTGTGGGTTGAGGTCATGGGACTCCCCCTCATCTCACCCAGCGGAAATCCCTAAATTAAAAAGACCCACGGGTGACATCAACAGCTGGCACCCCCGTCCAGGGGAATTGACGTAATGTTTTGCAAAGGGCTTGTGCATGTCTGTCACAAGGAGGGAGAGAGGAGAAGGAGACAGATTTGGGGGACCGGGGGCGGGGCTTGTAGGTAAAAGAAGGAAGTAGGGAAACACCCTTTGTGTAGAGATTGGAGAGTGCAGTGGATTCACATACCACGAATAATTCCTATGAGTTGAGACGATGAAGCTAGTTGGGAAACAAGCCAGTCAAATACCTTCTGCACAAACAACATCTGCATTAATGACCTCCAGACAAGTGATTACAATCCAGAGTATAACCTTAGACTCTTTATACGAATTGGACGTAGTAACTGTGATATCACCCATTAGTTAATGTTTTGAAGCCTCAAGTTCATTATTTGGCTGTTGCCATCTTGTTCTTTTCGAACCAAAAGTGACAAGAGGATGGAGCTTAGAACAACAGAACAAGACAATTGGAGAACTGAAAACACACTATGACAGGCTTAAAGTTCTATGAGGAAAACACGGACAACAGCGTGTTGTCAATCACAAGGTATTACCGCCATAAAGCATACCTTTCCAAAATTGGGATCAATAAAGTATATATCTATCTAGTATATATCTACCTTGCATTATCGTCTAATTTACTCTTAAGGCAACCGTCATTTACAAAATGAAACATCATCCTGTATTGAAGAAGACTTGAACGATTGAGAAAATAACTTGTAAGGAAAATGTTTACTGCGGTAATACACCAAATGGGAAATAGGGTCCTAGTTCGATCATTTTTTCAAAGACTTCTATAAAAAAGGACTTCTTTGTGACTGTCTTTCTGCTCGCTAAAGGAAAGAATATAGGGAAAAGGCACTTCCTGCATTAGCTTTCACTTTTCACACCTGGAGATTGTCTCTTTGTTGTACCCCAGGGGATTATTTGGCAGCTGCCAGAATATGTTTATGAGGGAAAGTGTGACGTTATGAAGCACTTCTGCTTATTAAGAAATCAATGTCACAATAATTATAGAGCCAACTGGAGTCATTTGTATCACCTTAAGAAACGCTATGTGATTGAGAGTACTTGTCAGAAAGTGAGCAGAGGTGTCTTAAGACTGCAGTTAGCTGAAGTGGAAAAAGGCAGAACTCTGACAAAAAAAAAGACAATTCAATTGGATACAAAAATAAGTGCTACTTAACATTCCATTTACAGTCCATTGAAATAAACACATACGTATGATATGTCAAACAAGAAAAGCTCTGAAAGCAATGATATGAGAATAATAGAGAAGGCTTTGGGTCATGGTGAAGTACTCAAAGACACTAAGACATCAAATCCAGAGTACCTCTCTCTACATGAAGTTGAAGGTGAAAAATAAATGGAATAATCTTGACTTCAGAATCTGCCCTGCATGACGTTTTCAGACCTGGCATGTGGCCTGAGAGGAAGCTCCTCTTAAGGAAGTCATGGTCTGGCCTGCATGCTGCCCTCCCAGCTGCCTCTACCAGTCCATATTTACTAGGCCTAAATTAGAGGCCTAAAGTTGAACTTGGCCCTTAACAAAGTAAAAGAAAGAAATTCAAAAATATTTTAATGGCCCTCCTTCATTGATGCCATGACCTCTGCTCTTTTATGCTGTAGGTTTGTAGGAAAAGTAGAAAAATAGCTACTTTCAGAAAAGAGATGTGCCAATACGCTGAAATCACAAGGGTTATTTTGAATCTTGAGGCTTAGTTGGTCATGTTTTGATCGTGTTGCGATATTAAACATGTTGATACATGGGACTGTGCAATCATACCTAATAAAGTTAATAATCCCGAAGCTGAGCCAAACAGGCTCAGAAGGAGCGGCTGGTTTGAGTTTCCTCTTGCTCTCCTCTGAGGGCAACCACTTCCATGATCACAGTGTCTATGTTTTGCATTGTTGACAAGAGTTAGAGTTTTCTTCTATTTTAGATATGCACACCACTTATAAACAGATGGCTGCAAACTCTCTCCATGTGCCACCATTGGTGCCATCCACCACTTAGAGTCATGCTGCCACTGGACTATAAATGGCGCCCAAGATAGACTGAAACGTCTTCATTTGGTTTTTGTATGGCCCTGAGAAAAAGGGGCCTGGGAAACCGAATCACTGAGTCTCCATTTCACAGGGACTAGAAACCACAGGGCACGCAAACAGTTCCCCACAGACTGTTAACAATGCTAACTCCTCCGTTCCGCCTCCTCCTCCTCCTCCTCAATCTGTCTGGATCTGTTGCAAAACTGACGGGGACATGTCCCTCGGTTCCTTTGTAGCCACGATTAAAGGCATTCCTTAGCAGCTCAATCAAAGACTACCCCAAAAATATTCCGGGGCAAGAATCTTAACAGTTTCAAAAACAAATACATGGACAGAAAAAGGGGAGAATAAATAGTAGCTGCGGTGAGAAGTCGATAATATTTGTTTTCCCCTGCACTGAGCCCTGCGGATCTTCTTTTTTCATCTGCTAATAATCAGCAAGAGAGATTTTTTGTTCATCTCTTGCCAGCAGGGAACCAGGCCCAGGCAGTTATGTCTTATGTCAGTATGCGTCGGGATGGGATAGGGGGGGGCTTGCACCTCTCATCGAGTTCCACCACTCAATTACCAGCTGCTCAGGCCACTTTTCAAAAACTATTGGATGAAACGCTACATGCAAACGTGATCAAAACTAAGCAGATTACTTTAGTAGGCGATGAAAGAAATACATTAGTGTGATTATTCTATCGTACAGTGTTTAATCGAGAGAGAGAGAGAGAGAGAGAGGGAGGGAGGTTTCTTCAATGAAGCTCTGCCCTGAGGCCTGGAAAGCCAGCCAGGTTGGTGAGATTTCAATCAACCCTGACACATGCAATCTTGTAGCAGCAGCACATACACACACACACACACACACACACACACACACATACACACACACACACACACACACACACACACACACACACACACACACAGTAAAAACACAACACAATATCTACTGCCTGGGTTCGGACTGACCCACTTGCTCAGAGAGTGACTCAGCCTCCCACGTCTGGGCTCAAACGTATGAAATCTCTTCGTCTCTCATTCTCTTGAACTCCATTAAACACACCTGTTGTGCATGTGCACACATTTACACTTTCATGCACACACTTATATAAAAGTGCTGTTAAAGTGAGTAAGAAGTCAGAGCAGTGGGTTCAGAAATTGGGGCACGGCTTCAGATTGTGGTTGCCCAATTCAACAGAATGACTTTCAGTTATTTGATTTGCATAAATTCGGCCCTGTGTTATTATTAGACTCCTTTATTATGTAAAACTTGGTAAGTTAATTTGTGTTTTGATTCAAACAGACACATTGAAAGTGATTTGGCCTCACTCATGACACGACATTTATGATGCTATATCTGTCTTTGTGGATGTAAACCAAAGCCTTTCACTTATTTAACTTGGCAGAAGATTTGGTAACGAGGGCAAATGTTTGGTTTAAGAGCAGAAAGAGCGGTCTCTAGAAAGAGCAAAGAGAGACCGCATGTAATAGTTGAAAGAGATCTGAATCTGGTTGCCTGGGTTACTAAGCAACAATAACTTTGGTCCCCGCAAAGATTTGGCTCTCTGTACACATTTGTGAAGTGATGAGGGAGCCTGAGGTGACAGGACGGGCTACGACACTGACCCAT